TGCCCCTGCACCCCAGCCTGGGCTACAGAGGGAGACCCCAACTCAAAAAAAAAAAAAAAAAAAAAGATTACACATAGCTAAAAAGTGGCAGAACCAGAATTTGAACCAAAGCAATTGGTTTAGGTTGACCTTCATTCAAAGGGTCAGTAGAGGGGCAGGAATGGAATGTCATAGAAGAGAAATGTCTGTATTTTTTTTCATAGGAAAAATGGTTTCATCCAAAAGAGGATAACTTGATATTATTTTTGAGTTGGAGTCTCACTCTGTCACCCAGGCTGGAGTGCAGTGGCATGCTCCTGGCCACCGCAGCCTTGACCTGCTGGGCTCCAGCGATCCTTCCACCTCAGCCTTCCAAGTAGCTGGAACTACAGGCGTGTGCTACCTGGCTAATTTTTGATTTATTGTAGATCAAGGATTATTTTTAATCCTCAAGGAATTCCAACCCAAGTTCTGACTTTAAACACTCTGCTGTGTGGACATTGTCATACTTCATCTCTTCCAACTAATGTCTGTGTCTTAGTTGGGAAAGAGGAGAGATGTGTCGGTATTATAAAGACTACAGTTATGTTATTTCTTGTAGGCACCTTTGGGAGATAGGGTTATATTAAGGGTGGCATTTAAAATTAACTTTTTTTGTTGTTTTTATTAAGGTTTGAGTAGACAGAGTTGTCCTAGTGGGAGCACAGAAAGGGTTGGATTCATCCAGATGTCTCAATCTCTGTCCTATTCTGAGAGTCTCTGCCCCTAGATGACTACTTTGCACTTTCCTCTCCCTTAGATATGGCAAGATTGTTTCCACTAAGGCCATACTGGACAAGACCACAAACAAATGTAAAGGTGAGAGAACAGCTGTCCTTGATGATTGAGGCTGCCCCTCGCCTCTGCCCTTTACTTCAGAGAGTCCCGAGTATGGAGTGCCAGGGAGGAGTCTCTGAGGTTTCTGGGCTTAAAAGATTAGTATTCAGATTCTTTGGTGACCAGATAGCTCAAGCTGAAAATGCTGTTTACGGAGGCCAAGACCAGAGGACTGCACAGAGCACAGTTGAGTTCCTTGAGCTCATTTTGAACCATATATTTTTCTGGATAGGGTGATATGGGTGGGTAGGAGGACTGTTTCTACTTAGGGAAGCAACATAAATGCCTTTTGTGGGGGGATTGAATAGTTTAAAACTAAAGTTTTATTGGTGTTTTGAGCATTTCTAGATGGAGCTGGAAGAGTGAACGGAGGAGAAGGGGCTATAGGTTGGGGTGTGGAAGGGCTCCTTCCAATAGGTGGCTGGTTGTACGCTTTGAAGAGGCTATATTCCCTACATGCCTAGGATTTCTAAGATGTGTCCACAGGAGAGAGGAGGGGGTTCTTTTACTGGTATGGGGGGCTGTGGTTATTAGAATATCCTAGTCCTGAAACCTCAGATTTCTTAGGGGAAGGGAAAAAGGCTAGGACACCACAGGACCTCATTGACTTGACATTCTTAGCCACAAAGTAGACCAAATCTCAGGGTTTAAGGAGCACACGGATAACCACCTGAAATCTCTTAATTTCTCTCTCTCCCTACCACTTCTATAACATGGATCATAACTCTTCCTCTATCTACTGAAGAGCCTGGGCCATTTACCCCTCTTACACCTCCCACCTTCCAGTCATACTGTTTCCCTGTTCCAGGCTATGGCTTTGTGGATTTTGACAGTCCTTCAGCAGCACAGAAAGCTGTAACAGCACTGAAAGCCAGTGGTGTACAGGCACAGATGGCAAAGGTAAGGGCACTACCACATGTCTGTTCCTCTGAGAGGTTTGTGGTTAGCATCAAAGTGCACTTCCAAGGTTTCCAGAGGGCTTAAAAATCATGAAATTGAATGAGCAAGGACTGTCTCCAGGGCTTTCTGGCAATCTCTAGCCAAAGATAATCTGAACCAGCATCCATGTGCACCCCTGGCTGCTGGCCGAAGATGTATTCAGAAGTTACCTGTGGCAGGTAACTCTGTCAACTTGGTTTCTCTCATTAAGTTGGTGGAAATGGGCAGGAGGGTCAGGAGGCCTCTTCCCATACTATGGTTTCCCTATCTCCACTCTGACCTCACTTCCCTACCAGACAGCTTGTGGTGGTTTTGTAACATCCTCTGAGGAAGCCAGTTGTGCAACTCAGAAAGAAGTTCAAAACAATGCTCTCCACATCCCAGTGTTGTTCCCT